CCATATATATATATAAATTAAATAATCTATGATTTTGTCTTCATTTATCAAGCCATTGTTCTTAAAGATACATTGTCCACAGAACTGGTCCTTGTCTTAGACTTATTAATTTGCAAAAGTTCATAGTGCTGCTTCATATGTCTCAACACTCTTTGTTAGATATACACTTATACGTGAAGCAGTTTCTCTCAGGAGCTCTTACTCTGAAATTGCCTTCTTAAAAGCATCAGTTCAAACCATGTACTGTATCAGTTACTGAGGGCTGGTGTATAAACCTAGCACACATGCAGTGGCTTACTGATAGAAACGTATTCTTTCACAATTCTGGAATCTCGTAGATGCTGGAGACCTAGCAGATTCCTGCTACCTCTGAGGGTCAAAGGGAGCGCCTTGCCACTTCCAGATTCTGGTGAGAGTCTGAGGGCCTAGTTTCTGCGCATAGCTCTCTCTGTTCTATCTTCACATCCCTTTTTCCTTTGTATATTTCCTCCAGTTTGCTTCAAATCTACTGTTTTCATTTTATAAGCATGCTGTTTTTACATCTTGGGCCTACCAAGGCAGTTAAAGATCATATCATCTCAGGATTCTTAAATTAATCACATCTACAAGATGCTTTTTCTAAAAAGGTAACATTTATGGGTGCTGAAGATTAGGGTGTGGGCATAACTTTTGGGGGCACCATTTAAATAGCTACTGATATCAGTACATTTAAATTTTGCCATTTTTTTCCATAGATATATTAATAGTTCATATCATCATGCTTACTGAAGTTTTTTCCCTACGAACAATGCTTTCAAAATATTTGGCTTATTCATATTTTTCTAAAAAGACTTTTATAAATGATTAAATTCTGACTGAATTTTCATATAATAGAGACTGCATCTTAAAGCAGAATGTTTTCTCTTTCTATAGTAAACATATAAAATTTTCCAGATATAACATAAAAATACATTATTCTATATAAATATGTAGTGTACATATTTGTTACATATACATGACTAAATATATAATTGACTAGATTGTCATTCATTAATTTAATAATTCCTGAGTACCTGTTTCATCTAAGACTAGTTATTACTGGAGATATAACGGTATAGGAGACGTATTACCCATAAGAATTATTATTTACTGAAAGGGCTTCTCAGTTCAAACCAATGATTTTGGCATCAACACCTTTTCTCCTTGATTTTTATCTGAAGGATTATCCATGTCTTCATAGTGAGCACATAACTTCCATGATTGTTACTCTAGACCACACCTATACATTTCACTGGTGCCTGAAGAGTCTACCCTTATGAACGCCTTCAAATTCTTTTTTTTTTCTTTTTTTTTTTAGGAATGTATATATATATATTTTTTTGTCTTAAATGATAGCTGTATACATTAATGCAAACATGGGGTACAGTGTAGTCTTTTCATATACATTTTGAAATACTTTCATCAAGCTGGTTCACATAAATTTCATGTCATTTGCATAGTCATTGTGTCAAAACATTTATATTCTTGTTCTAGAAAAGTTCACTTGTACCCTTGTTAGACAGAAATGTAGGTGATCTTTCCGGTAACCCTCGCCCCACCCAGCCACCCTTCTCCCCTCCCCTTCTCCACCCCCCTCCCCATATTCTTGGGCTAGAATTAAGTTGTATCTTTCATTTGAGAGCTATAAATTAGTTTCATAGAAGGGCTGTGTACATTGGATACTTTTTCTTCCATTCCTGTGATTTTTTGCTAAGAACATTTTCCAGTTCCATCCACGTAAACATGAAGGAGGTAAAGTCTCCATTTTTCTTTAGGGCTGCATAGTATTCCATGGTGTACATATACCACAGTTTATTGATCCATTCGTGGATTGATGGGCACCTGGGCTTCTTCCATGACCTGGCAATTATGAATTGGGCTGCAATAAACATTCTGCTAAAAACATCTTTATTGTAATGTGATTTTTTTATCTTCTGGGTATATACCTAATAGTGGAATTGTAGGATCAAATGGCAGGTCTATTTTTAGTTCTCTAAGTGTTCTCCAGACGTCTTTCCAGAATTACAAAATGACATTTGCAATCATTATTACTAACAATTGGATCAGGCAAAATAATCAATGGATGCTAAAATTTGTTACTGAAAGGTTGAAGAGCAGGATATTTACCGAGGAATACTCTGGAGATATTGCAGGTTTGGGTCCAGATTATAATAAAGTGAACAGCACAATAAAGTTAGTCACAAAAGCTATTTGTTTCTTGGTACACAGAAAAATTATGTTATGCTATAATTTATTAAGAGTTTAATAACTTTATATATAAAAGCAATCTACACAAATTATTATAAAAAGGTTTTATCACTGAAAAATACTAATGATCATCTGAGCCTATGTGAGTCAAGGCTTTTTGCAGATGGAGGGAATTGACTCAACATCGATGGCTGCTGACTTATCAAGGCAGTGGTTGCTAAAGAATGAGATGGTTGTGGCGATATCTGACAATAATATAAAACAGTGGTAAAGTTTCCTGCGTTGTTTGACTATTTCTTTTGTGAAAGTTTTCTCTGTAGGCTGCAATGATATTTGATAGCATTTTACTCACAGTAGAATTTTTTTTAAATTGTAGTCAATCTCTTCAAGTCCTGCTGTAACTTTATCAACTAACTTTATGTAATATCCTAAATCCTTCGTGATCATTTCAACAATGTTCACATCATCTTTATTGACCAGGAGTAGACCCATCTCCAGAAACTACCTCTTCACCTATCCATAAGAAGCTACTCCTCATCTATTCAAATTTTACTGTGAGATTGCAGATGTTGACTCAAATCCTTAGGGTTCACTTGTAAGTCTAGTTCACTTGCTATTTCTGCCATATCTACATTTACTTCCTCAGTGAGTCTTGAACTCTCTCCAAGTCACCCGTCAGGGTTGGATCTACTTCTTCCAAACTCTTATTAATGAGATATTTTGACATCCTGTAAATCATGAATATTCTTCACATCTTAGTCTTACACAACATTCAATATTTCATGGACAAAAATGAAGCCATATAAATTAAAAATGTTCTGAGGTCATTGAATGTGAGACAACTTAGTGTCTTAATATTAAAGTAAATCTCAACTTTTGAATTTCTCTGCCCTATCAATCTTCATGATTTCCTTCTTTTTGTGATAAAGATTTATCTATTATAAAACCTCCAACTTATCATGATATTAAGTAATTTACAATGTTTCCTTGGATGTCCTCCATGTAAAATAATTATCATTTGTCAGAAAAAGATCAAGAATTAATTACATTTCCTACTAATCTAGGCTGTGATGAGGGTATCTCTGAATGTCTAATTAAAACTAGAACTATTTTAACATAATGGTGTAAAGAGCTTCTAATAAAGTTAAAAGGAAAACAACTGAATATCTAAGATCCTGGAAAATCCACTGTTTAGAAAATCTGTACAGAGGTCTCTGCTCATATTAATGGATTGCTAATGTTATTATCTAAATACAAGGCACAGACATGAATATTCACATTCCATCTGCAATTAAGTAAGGTATATTTTAGAAGCTTTCAGGAGGAAAATCCTCACTCTAGATGGCTCCAAAAAGACCACTAAGTCTGGTCCTTGAATCACATCTAACCATGTGGTGTGTTTCCTAAGGTCCCACATGCTATGGTTCCTGAGTTCCCACCCAGTGAGGGCCTCTAAATTTAATCAGTTGGAACTAGACTAGATTTTAGATCAAGAACAAATGATGGAAAGTTGCTCTTCCAAGGCCCTGATGACCAGCCACTTGCTGTTATAGAGTTTTAGTAGAACATAGGCACACTCATTCCTTTACATATCATGTATGGCAGATTTTGCCAGAATTGAGTTGTTCTGACAGAAAAGTTAGCCTTCAAGGTCTTAAATATTTTCCTATAGCCCTTTACAGGAAAAAGTAATTAACTGTTGATCTAGCAGGTGGGTAATATGCTCTTACTGATATCAAATCAATTATTGAGTTAGTTTTTTCAATAATTCCAATGATAAATAATCCATTAAAATTTTAGACATTCTGGTTGGAATAAAATAGTATATGATGATGGCTTTATTTTACATTTTCTTGCTGATTTATGGTGCTGAGCAGCATTTCATATATTTTTTAATCACTTATATTTCTTTTAAAATGCATCTGTTGGCTCGGCACCTATAGTACAGTGGTTACAGTGCCAGCCACATACCCTGAGGTTGATGGGTTTGAACCCGGCCTGGGCCAGCTAAACATTGACAACTGCAACAAAAAATAGCCAGGTGTTGGGCGGTGTCTGTGGCTGAAAGGAGTAGGGTGCCAGACCCATATGCTGGAGGTGGCAAGTTTAAACCCAGCCCTGGCCAAAAACTGCAAAAAAAAAAAAAAAAAAAAAAAAGAAAGAAAAAGAAAAAGGAAAAAAATAGCTGGGGGTTGTGTTGGGTGCCTGTAGTCTCAGCAACTTGGGAAGCTGAGGCAAGAGAATCACTTAGGCCCAAGAGTTAGAGGTTCTTGTGAGCTGTGATGCCATAGCACTCTACCAAGGCTGACATAGTGAGACTCTTTCTCAAAAATAAATAAATAAAATAAAATGTGTCTTTTTAAATGGTTCTTTCATTACTTACTTTGAAGAAGTCCTTTATGTGTATGAACTGTCTATAGTTTCTTTACTGGATACAAATAGTGTATATTGTATTACTACAACTGTGACTGCATTTTTTGTTTCTTAATGATGATTTTGATGAGTATTGGGATTAACTTTGAAAAGCACCAATAATAACCATTTTTTTTGAATTTTTCGTCTATTGCTAATTTGTGTCTTTTTACAAACTTATTCCAATCCAAGGCATATAAGTATTCATCTATTTACCTCTCAAAAGTTTAAAGGTTCAATTTTTTATGTTCAGGTCAATAATATTTCATTTAAGATGAAACTTATTTTAATATAAAACAAAAACAGCAGTGTCCATACTCACAGGGAGCAGAGCCTCTCTCCACAACACCCTTTGACATGTCTCACATGGGCCTCTCCTTCCTGAGTGCCCTCCTCAGGACCCCCTTGACCTCTGTGCTCCTCAGGCTGTAGATCAGGGGATTCAGCATGGGATTGAAAAGGCTGTAAAACAGAGAAAGGATCTTCTGCTGCTCCTCAGGATGGCGGGACTTGGGGGCCACGTACATGACAATGGCGCTGCCAAAGAAGAGCCCTACCACACAGAGGTGGGAAGAGCAGGTGGAGAAGGCCTTCCTGCGGCCCTCCCCTGACCGGATGCTCAGGATGGCCAGCAATATGCGCGAGTAGGAGCCCAGCACCAGGCAGAAGGGCCCCACTGGGATGAACAGCCCAACTGCGACGATGGCCAGCTGGTTGAGCCTGGTGTCAGCACAGGCCAGCTTGAGGACAGACAGGATCTCACAGAAGAAGTGGTTGATTTCATGAGGCCCACAGAAGGGCAGCCTCAGGATGAGGACCAAATGGATCAGAACCAGAAGGAAACTACACACCCAGGAGGAGACAGCCAGGATGGTGCACGCTCTCCAGCTCATGATGACAGTGTAATGTAAGGGGCGGCAGATGGCCACGTACCGGTCATAGGACATCACTACCAAAATCAGGCACTCTGTAGCAGCAAAAACCAAACATAAGAACATTTGCATTATACATGGAACAAAGGAAATAGTTCTCTTCTCATTCACAAGATTTGCCAGCATCTTGGGGACGTTGTTGGAAGCATAGGACATGTCAATGATGGCCAGCTGTGAGAGGAAGAAGTACATAGGGGTGTGCAGTCTGGAGTCCAGGCAGATAATCCCAAGGATGACCCCATTTCCTAGAAGAGTGAGTATATAGAAAAGAGAGAAAACTCCAAACAGGAGAAATGCCAGTGGTGGATCAACTTGGAATCCCAGCAGGGTGACTTCTGTGATCCATGTCTGGTTGCTTCCCATGCTTCTGCAGAGAAAGGCAGACATTCCTTTGAATGCATTTGTTTTCTAGAATTTACTTTCAGATAAGTTGCAAAAACTGACGTGATGTGCTCGTTAAAATAAGAAAGAAATTTATATCAGTAAATCAGAAAGATAAATATGTATTCAAATAATAAAGCTTATGTATAATAAAACATCAATTATCATATTGGTATGTAGAATAATATTCCTTTTATATAAGAGGATACAGATACACCCGTGAACACATTTATTATTTTAGAGAATTCGAATATTCTGACTTCTCTTTCTGGGTGGGAGGCTTTCTCATTTTATAATTAGAAGATGGATGGCCTTGAAACAATGTTGCAATACAAGGAAGGCTGTTTCATACCCTAGGCTTGCTTGCCTTCTTGGGCCAACCTATGTAGTGATTAGAGCACTCTGTTCTTGATATTCTGGGTTACTAATCCACTAACTTTCTCAGATGCAGTCTATCTATTTAATATTTGAAAACCCTTCTAAATAACTTCATAATTTTGTAGTTTCTTTAAAATTTCCTAAGATTTTTCTTTTCAAAAGTTGACCAAGAGTTCCTGGAAGTAACTCCTGGTGCCTATTTTCTATCTTTACTGATGTAGTTTTATTTCAAGAGTTTTGTTTAATTCTTCATCAAGACTTGATAGTAAAATTTAGTCCTAAGTGAGAGAATTCTTTGGCTACACACAATGGATACATAGAAACATTTTAGGTAAAGTTAAACAGGATATTTCCACAGTATTTCAAAGAGAGAAATTCGAAGGGAGAAACCAAGATACATTAACAGTTGTTACATTAACATTAATTGCTGTGTTGCAATTGTATTTTGTTTGGCTCTTTACTCTTTTCCCTTTTATAATCTAAGAGCTGTACAGAGATATGTGCGGGATCTGGTTTCATTTTCTGGTGTGACAGAATCTTTTGTCTTTATCATATCTTCCCAGATTGGGCATCTCAAGCTGCCATCAAATCCACTAACTGGCTTCTTTCTCATCACCTGTTACCATGGCAACAGCCTATTAGTTGGTCTGGATCCTGCACAGGACACAGGGGTTGTAGCAAATAGTAGGTAGAGCCCCAGATGGATAGTTCTTTCTAGGGAATTTCCTCTGTGCAGCCATCAAAGGGAGACCAAGGGCCATGAGAAGGGTGGATGGCGCCATCCCTCAGAAACCATAGGTCCTAGAGCTGGTTTCTACTTCACATTTCTTCCCTTAACACACTGAGACCTATCTTCATATTCACATCATGACAAAATTTCAAATTTAACAAATATTTTAAATAATTATTTCAGTGTTTACTTTCTAGCAAAAATCTAGAGCTTCAAATATGTATCTTAAAAAAGGAATTATAATGAGATTTTACATTTTAAAACTACCACCTCAATGTAATATAATAGAAATTTTTGTTGTATTAAAATAATATGTAATATATTCATAAGTAAAATGCATATACAATATATATAAATTTGCAACATTCTTTTTATCACAATGAATTTAATTTTTATTTTCATAAATTTTTGTCTTCTATTTCTTTTATATTAAGTTAGCATTGAGATAAAATTCTTACAAATTTATGTCTGGCATATGTTTGTGATTATTAATTTAGGATATATTGTTAAAGTGAAATTTCAGATGCTAAACATATAGACATTGCAAAGCTTTTGATACCTCTTGCTGGCTTTCTTTCAGAAAATGTATAACAATGTAACTCTATTAATTTACATCAATATAAATACCACCACCATGTGCCTCAGAATTATACCTCTTTGTCACCTTGTCATCAACAGTAAGTGTTATCATTTTTAATTTTCACTTGTAAGAGAACTTTTTTTTACAATTTAAATGTATATTTCATCCATCCCTTAAAAATACTCCTTTATTGCATGTCCAGGAGCTTGTATACAGGGTGGCCATAAAGTTCATGTGCTATTTAAAATTTACACTATTTAAAATTGCACATGAACTTTATGGCCACCCTGTATATAAAATTTCTTCTTGACACCTGTGTTTATCAATTTGTATTATTCCAGATTTGGAGCAGAGAGAGAGCATGGCTAATTACTACCCCAAAACACCAGGAGCAAACTGGGGAGTAAGATAATTGTTGACTGAAAAGCAGTGTGCGGGAAATAAGCTGGGCGGAATGACAGACATGACTGGGCTTGAGGGGGCTCAATATATGGGAAGGCCAGGAAGGCCAGGAAGGTCCCTTTTGAGAGAAGGCGTGATGGGACCTAAAGGAGAGTAGGCCCTGAGAAGAGTCAGAAGAGGACGCTCCTTGCCCAAGCACTGGGAAGGGGCAGTGAAGGCCAAGACTCTGTGCAGGAAGCACCTAGTAAGCTGTGGGAAGAGAAAGAATCCCACAGACCTCAACCAGGTGAGCAAGACGAGGTACACAGTCTGCATGAACTTATACATATTCCTTAAAATTTGCACTTGATATAATGTTTATCCTTTGGGGACAGATTAAATATGTTTGGCTACTTTTACAGCAGGGAATATTATGCAGCCATTAAAAAGCATAATTTCAGTCTATAGGTCACAACCTGAAATTAATGTCTGTGAATACAATATGATCTTATATCCATTTAAACATATAAACATATTTGTACACATACCAATTTTATGTCTGTTTACAAATCTGTAAAAAATTCCTTATGTAAAACATGAGACTGTCAACACTTATTACTTCTACAGAGTAGAAATACACAGGGACTTACCTTTTGTATAATTTGTTTGCACATCTGTTTGTTTTTAATAAACTATGCATTATGGGATACAGCACTTGACATTTCTTATCTGGAAAGCTGCACAATGTACTATAGAATTAAAGTGGCGCATTATTCCTACTAAATTTCTCACTAAGGTCTCACAGGAATCACTGATTAAAGTGGTTTTCCATAGAGCTTTAAGTGAGAGAAATAAGGTACTGAATGATGAAAAAGAATTAACCCTTGACAAGAAAGCAGAGATTGAAAACTCGGAATTATTCCACTTTATAAACACACATTTTTTCCCCTGTGTTGTCTGATAGAAAAATGAGCAAGATCATTCAGTAAGTAAAAGTAGAAAAAGATGTTAATCAGGTTGAACATTACAGCAACTTCCACCAAATTGTGAAGGAGAGCACAGCAAATTTCTGAATCCACAAGGGTTACAGAAAGTGTCCTTTGTCGTGCAGAGAAGTACATTTTGATGCCTTTTAATTTTCTGATTCCTAACAAGCTTCTGTTTATATTAAATTAAAATTAAAAGAAAGGGCTCGGTGCCTGTAGTTATGGCGTGGTTATGGCGCCAGCCACATACACTGAGGGTGCAGGTTTGAACCTGGCATGGGCCAAGTAAACAACTGCAACAAAAAAATACATGGGCATTGTGGTGAGCACCTGTAGTCCCAGCTACTTGGGAGGCTGAGGCAAGACAATCGCTTAAGCCCAAGAGTTGGAGGTTGCTGTGAGCTGTGATGCATGACACTTTACCGAGGGCGACATAGTGAGATTCTTCCCCTCCCCCCCCAAAAAAAAATTTAAAAGAAAAACATAAGAAGATGGAAAGGCTCAATTTCTTCCCAAAGATGGTTTTTAGATGAGACATAGGAGACCTCTTGGAGGTGGAGTGGGGACTAGTGCTCCAAGATGAAGTGCATTGACTCAGGGTCAGGGCATGGCCAGCAAAGTGGGTCTGGGTTTGTGATGGGTCCTAGGACTGTGACCCTGGCCCTGGACCGAGGCAGAAGCCTGGGACGCTTCAGCAACCGTAAAGCCAAGTCTTCAGGCCCCCTTTGCCAAATGCTTAGAAGTGTTTCACTAATCAAAGTCCATAATGTTCCAATCTAGAATTGTAGAGTTTGCATGTGATTTTTAAAAAGAACTTCCTGAAAGAAAACAGGATCTTAGTAAAAAATATTTCAAAAGGCTAGAATAAAAACAGGGGCAAATAGAATTGTTAGTGAAATTTCTAATTCTTTTCATTAGGGGCACCACATCCACACCGTATGTTACACCTTAACGTCTACTGTATTTTTTAACAGCTTCCTAGGCAAGATCACAAACTCTAATGGTCGGTATTTACACATGCAAATTGCTCATCAGCTCATTTGTGAAGCTGAGGGAGGTAGAAAGTATGACATAAGGTGGAAAGCGTTTTTCATTCTAATTATTAGCAAAATTTTGAATTTTGGAGTTCACTGTGGAAGAAGTCAGATTTTTATTTCTTAGAGAAAAATCCTAGGCAGGTAAGATACAGACACAGATACTTGAACTGTGGATGTCTGTGAGTGCACAGTCCAGCTGCACATTCTGGAATGATCTTCAGTGGGCAGAATGAAGATCCTTCCTGGATACCTTTCTCTGTGCTTCTAAAGCATGACATAATCAGCAGTAACTTAAAAAAAAAAATGATTCCAGAAGAATGAAATGAGCAGGGTTGTCAATGTTCCTCAGACCCTTTCCTGACCTTGGTTCTGAATGGTGAGCATTCAAAGGAGTCACTTATCCTGAGTGCCATTATTTTCTTCTTTAAAATGATGACAACAGATATCTGAGTGGGTGATGTAAAGAATAAGTCCAATGAAGGTCTCCGTTAATGGTTTAGTAAATGCTAACTGTTATTAATAATATTATGGAGATCACAACATTGAGGGAGGGATGTAAATTATAAATACAACACGGTTGTAGTTTGTACTTATTTAGGCTATTTTTGAATTTAAATAACAAAACACATTTTGCTTTCACTTTGATTGTTTTTGTATTTTGAAATTTTTTATTAAGTTAAAAATAGAACTCAAAGAGTTAGAGGACCCATTTAAAGTAGCCTCTATCCTATGCTGAAGAAGAAAACACAGTTTTTAAAATAAAAAGCTGTTCCTTCATGACCAATATGTTAGAGAGAGAGAGAGAGAATCTATGGAAGGAAAAGTGGGACATATATAGGATAATTAACATCGACCCTAAGTAAATATTTCAAATGGAAACTATGGAGCCA